GCATCGGAGCGAACTTCTTACCTGATCCTGAAGATGGCGACGAAGCAGCTTATCCCGGGAATAAAAATTCCCCTCGACACACACCCACAGGCCTACAGACTAAAACCTATCGGGACTATTTTCTGGCAGTCGAGCAAGCAGGAACTAATCGCACTATCCTCGGCTGAAGCGGAATACATCTCTCTCTGCACTGCGACCAAAGAGGGACTTAACCTGCCGGAGCTGCTCGAGGAAGCGAAAATTGCGACCATGCCCTTCTTGTTATTCTGCGACAACCAATCCGCGATCAAAATTGCGAACAAAAACAGGTTCGCCAATCGAACCAAGCACATCGCCCTGCGGTATTTCTCCCCTGCTCCTCCCGTCTCCTCCTCCGTCGTCGCTAGCTGTGGCCCCGCCCCCGTTCTCTTACTTCCTTCGTGCTGCGTGTCCCCTTGTTCCTCGTGTCCTTGCCTCTCTTGTTACCGACCCGTCCGTTCCTGTCTCGAGTCTGTCGGCTCTTGTCGCTGCTGTCACTGACTTTGCCGCTACCTGCCACCTTGACTACGCAACTGCTTTGGTCTCTGACCCTGCTTGCCCTCCGTCCGTCAGGGGTAAGCCTGCCCTTAGCAGTGACGTCCCAGAGGACAGGCAGTACGAGCTTGCTTTCCTATATGAGGCCGCTATTCATCTCTTTTCCATGCTGCTGGTCCCTGAGCGTGACCCAGACGCCCTTGACATCCCGACCCCTCGCACCTACGCTGAGGCCACCTTGGGACCCTGGGCCTCTCAGTGGATAGATGCCATGGAGCAGGAGATGGCATCTTGGAGATCCACCGGTACCTTCATCGACGCAGTTTCCCTACCTGGGGTGAATGTAGTCGATGGCCGGTGGCTCTTCAAGGTGAAGCGCCCTCCTTGAGAGCTGCCTGTCTTCAAGGCCCACTACGTTGCTCGAGGCTTCAGTCAGCGTGAGGGGGTGGACTTCTTTCAGACCTCCGCCCTGGCCCCGAAGATAACTCTTCGGGCACTATTACACGTAGCAGCATAGCGTGACTACGAGCTGCACTTCCTAGACTTCTCCACAGCTTTCCTCCAGGGCAGTCTACACGAGCAGGTCTACCTGCGCTGCCCCCAAACCTTCTCCAGTACCTTTCCCCCTGGTACCGAGTGGCTCCTCCAGTGCCCCGTCTACAGCTTGCGACAGGTGCCCCATGAATGGCATGACACGCTGCGTGCTACACTTGCTGACCTGCAGTTCTTCCCGTCGTCTACAGAACCCTCGCTTTTCGTCCGTCCCGACCAGACCCCATTCTACATCCTTGTCTACGTAGATGACCAGATCTTTGCTACTGCAGACAGAGACGCGCTGGCCTCAGTGAAGGCCGAGCTGCTGAGGAGACACACTTGCACTGACCTAGGAGAGCTGCGCCACTACCTTGGCTTGCAGATCTCCAGGGACAGAGTAGCGCACACCATCACTCTTCACAATCACACTTGGTGCGCCAGGTCCTTCAGAGGTTTGGCCTTCATTTCTCTTCCGCACAGCCCACCCGTCTGCCAGTAGACCACAGACTCTATGCTCCAGTCCTGGAGGAGGCTGTAGAGCCTAGCAGTCCCTACGCAGAGCTGGTGGGTTGCCTCATGTACCTGATGACTTGCACTCGTCCAGATCTCACATACCCTCTCAGCATCTTGGCTCACTTTGTGGCCACCGGTAGACACCGACCATAGCACTGGTCGGCAGCTAAGAGGGTTTTGCGTTATCTAGCAAGTACATCGGGCATGGGGCTAGTGCTTGGAGGATGCAGACTAGTGGTCGTTACTAGGCACACAGACGCTTCTTGGGCAGACGCCATCGAGACTCTCAGGTCCTCCCATGGCTACTGCTTTAGCCTTGGTTCAGGTGCCATCTCGTGGAGGTCCACTCGCTCCTTGTCTGTTGCCCAGTCTAGCTATGAGGCTGAGATCGCCGGTGGCATGGCGGCACAGGAGCTCCGCTGGCTGACCTTCTTCCTCACCGACTTAGGTGAGCAGCCTAGCCTTGCCCCGATTATGTACGCTGAAAACAGTGCCATGATCCTCCTGTGTCAGGAGCCCAGACTCGAGGGCTGAGCGATGCACATCCAACTGCGGTACTTCCTCCTGCATGAGCTACAGCAGCGTCGCCAGGCCCGCGTAGTACACTTGGCCTCCGGTGCCAACACAGCTGATATCTTTACGAAGGCGCTTGCGCCTAAAGATCATCAGCGGCACTGTGTAGAGCTAGTTCTCATTCCTGTAGCCTCTCATTTGTGAGGACATTGATTGTGTACAGACCTTAATATATATTACCCTGACTGGCCTTGTGGCCTCTTCCCAATGACTGGACTAGTATTGCCGCCCTAGTCTTGCTCCTGTCTTGTTTGTACTCGTTTGACTAGTCTTTAGACCCTTGCCTCAGCGGCGGGACTAGTAGTGCCACCCTGAGCTGCTTGTCTCTCACTAGGCACTGCCCCTTTCCAGTCTAGGGGGTGTGTCAAACATATCCTTGTATGTTGTTATAGACTACACAAGGTTGTGCCTTAGAGAGTACAACCCACTAGGTTATATTCCCTTGTATGCCATGATTCTAGTAATTCGTTCACTTTGATACTAGCAAGTGAGAGTCTACAGGAACTAGACCACGTTGCAATCTGTGCCGCTAATGTTCTTTAGGCGCAAGCGCCTTAGTAAAGATATCAGCTGTGTTGGCACTGGAGGCCAAGTGTACTACACGGGCCTGGTGGCGCTGCTGTATCTCGCGCAGGAGGAAGTACCGCAGCTGGATGTGTTTCGCTCTGCCCTCAAGTCTGGATGTACTAGCAGCATGAAACAGAGATGGGGAGTGGCCTCAGATAGAAGATGGATGGTGTACCGCACCTGGTTGTGTTTTGCTGGAAGTACGAGCAGCATGGAACAGAGATGGGGAGCGGCCTCAGGCAGAAAAGCAAGCACGTACTGCCTGTCCTCTAGGACGTCACTGCCAAGGGCAGACCACCCCCGACGGACGGAGGGCAGGCAGGGTCAGAGACCAGAGCGGTGGCGTAGTCAAGGCGGCGGGTAGCGGTGAATTCAGTGACAGCAGCAACAAGAGCCGACATACTCGAGACATGAACGGACAGGCCAGTAACAAGACAGGCAAGGACACAAGGAACAAGGGAACACGCAGCACGGAGGAAGTCAGAGAACGGGGGCGGGGCCACAGCAAGCGACGACGGAGGAGGAGACGGTAGGAGCGGAGGAGCACGAGACGCGTGGGAGCGAAGAAACATAGGGTGAGACCGCTGAAAATGGGAGGTAGGACGAGCACGAGACGGACGACGAGACCAGACGTGAGACGGAGGAGTCGGGCCAGGAGAGAGGGGAGGAGACACAGGAGGAGAACAGGGAGCGAAACGAGCCGGAGAGGAGTCCGAGGGAGGAAACACTGGGCCGTAGACCGGCGGAGGAGGAGGCGGCGGGGACGGAGGAGGCACCGGCAGGCGTTCAGGGGAAGGAAGACCGAAAAGGTGAAGAGCGGACACCGGCAGCGACTGCTGCGACTGCTGCCCGACGCCAACACCAGAACCTTTAGCGACAGCACGGCTCCCTCCGAGAAGCTCCATGCTAGCACCCCCAGAACGGGAACCCGCTCTAGTACCCGCTCCAGCACGCTCCCCAGCACCCCCAGAACGCATGAACCTCAGCGGTGGTGACGACGGCACCTGCGGCCGCGGCGGCAACGGCAGCGGTCGAGGCGGCTGTGGCGGTGATAGCAACGGCGGCGACGGGGGAGAAGAGACTGGGGCGGGGAGGGGTGGGGGGAGGGACTACGCAGAGCCGTGAGAGTCAGCAGACCTTTCAGCACGGACACCCGACGGGAGGGGGGTGGCGTTAGACACACCAGACGAGACAAGGGAGGGGGGGGAGCAGGTGCAACCGGGGGAGGGGGGACCAGGAACAGGGGGGGGGTAACCGGGGGACCACGGTGGGGAAAGCGGTGGTAAATGGAGACGGACTATTCAAAGGTGACGTCACGGGAGTGAAAGAAGCGGTGAGACGGCGAGTGGTAAAAGTGCCAGTCAGACGAGTCAAAGGGGAAACCAAGGAAGACACAGGGGACAGTGCGGGCAGTGAGCTTGTCTGTGCCAGAGGCACGAACGTGAGCAAGATAGCCCCAGAGAGAATGCAGACGCGTCACCAAGGGACCCGGTCCAGAGGAGGGTTGGCGAAACCTGCGACTGCTGAGGGTGCGGCCACAGGATAAGCTGATGATCGGTGTAGCGAACAGCGAACGGCCACAGAAAATGGGGTGCACCAGCATTGTAACAGGATCGAATGTGTCGAGGAAAAGTTGCACTATCAATTGATGCAAGGCGCTTTTATACTTCTAGAGTACATCAGGTAGCCAGGTTTATCGTATCCAAAGTGAATAGACCCTTCTAGAAATATAATCACCTTGCGTATAGCCACGCGAGGCTATTGGCTTCAAGGGATTACGGCAGGATTATGCTAGATATAGTGCACCGGTACATCCCGAGCCTGGTCGGTGATATAATTATAATAACAGGATAAGCCAAAGGATTATGGAAAGTGAGGAATAGGAAATTAAATGAGATGAGATAAAGACCAAATGAATCAGAATAAAAGGAGGAATGAAATCTATAAGAAATATGGAAAGTGTAACGGGGTCGTACTCTCACACTTCCCCCCCTCAAAGCTGGGTGGTAGAAGTGACACCCTGCTTGACAAGGTAGTCGCGAAGAGGACGACGATCGTTACTCATCACGGATTCAGGAACCCAACTATCCTCTGAAGGATCATAACCCTTCCAACAAATGAGAAGTTCCACGGCGCCATTTCAACGACGACGGCGTGCGAGCACGGACTCGACCTTGTACTCGGGTTCATTGTGGACGAGGACGGGCGGCAGTGGCAGGGGTTGGCGGCCGGTGAAGATCGTATTAGGATCTCAATAGGGCTTCAGAAGTTCGACATGTAAGGCGTTGTGAATCTTCCAGGTAGCTGGTAGGCGTAAGCGCTAGGTAACAGGAGTGATCTGTGCTTCAATGAGAAAGGGCCCGCAGAAGCAAGGTCGCAGTTTGGATGGAAGATGACCGATGTCGAGATTACAGGTGTCGAGGAGACATGGTCTCCCACGGTGATGGTGTGGTCAGTGCGGTGGCGATCGGCTTGGCGCTTCTGTTGTTGCTGGATGTCGAGGAGGCGCTTGTGGGTCCGATCCCAAAGCTTGTGCATGATCGTGATGAAGTCGTGTGCGGGTTGAACTGTGGCTGACATTGTCGGTTTTTGTGGCATGAGCGGGTGGCGTCCGTAGCAGAGGAAGAACGGCGTTTGTCCAGTGGCGGTGTGTGAGGCGTTGTTGTAGGCAAAATCCAGGACGGGCAGATGCAAGTCTCATTTAGAGATTTTGTCTTTGCATGCGGTGCGGAGGAGTTGCTCTACAATCTGGTTGAGGTGCTCGGTCTGTCCATCTGTCTGCGGATAGTAGGCTGATGACATGGCGAGTTTGGTCCCGAGCAGAGACATCAGCTCCTTCCAGAACTTGCTGGTGAACTTAGGGTCTCGGTCGGAGATGAGTGTGGTTGGAATGCCATGTTGTAAGATGATGTAGCGAACGAATAATTGTGCGGTCTCCTCGGTGCGTGCTGTCGTGTGAGTCGGGATGAAGTGTCCCATTTTGGAGAATTTGTCGATGACGACAAGGATTGCGTCATGACCGCTCGTGCTAGTTGGTAACCCGGTGATGAAATCCAGGCTAACCACTTGCTAGGGCTGTTCTGGGACAGGAAGAGGCTGTAGTAGTCCTGCCTTTTTCTGCTTGCTGCTCTTCATCCGCTGGCACATAGCACACGAGGTGACGAATTTCTGGACGTCGTTCGCCATGTGGGGCCAGTAGTAGTGTTTTGCAATACCGGTGAGCATCTTGTTGCTGCCGAAGTGTCTCGCGTATAGGACGTTATGGTATTCTTTGAGCAGTAATTGGCGCAAAGGAGGGTAATTGGGTACCCAGATTTTCGTGGATCCTTTCCGGTATGCGATGCCACTGTCCCACAGTAGCATGTGTCGTTTTGCTGCCAAAGGAATTTCGGGGTCGATGGCGTACGCGTGTGTGAAGAGTCCCTTGAGTAATGGATTCATCCCTTCAACCTGGATAGCGGCAACATGTGCAGGCCGACTGAGGGCGTCTGCTTTGTTTTTGTGGCCGGGCTTGTACACGATGTCGTAGTGGAAGTGTGTCTCGAGGAAGTCAATCCACCGGACCTGCCGCGTGGAAAGGGTTGGTTGTGTTTTCAAATATTTCAGGCTGCAGTGGTCGGTGTAGACGGTTGTGTTTCGTCCTTCAAGATAACATCTCCATGTTTTGAGTGCGATGATAATAGCAAGGGCCTCCTTGTCGTGTATCGGGTAGTTTAGTTCTGCCCCGTGGAGTTTCTTGCTGAGGTAGGCGATTGGTTGCAGTCCATTCCCTTGGTCTTGCATCAAGACTGCTCCCACTTTCAAGTACTGTGGCACGAATTTGTTGTAATAGTTAGCGAAGCCTAGGAACTGCTGCAACTCCTTCACATTCTCGGGTGTTTTCTATGTGCGTACGGCTTCGATTTTCTTGGGGTCGACGTGAACTCCTTGAGCGCTCACCATGTGTCCGAGGAATTGGACTTTTTCGAGGGCGAATTCGCTCTTGGATAACTTCACATAGAACCGTTCTCGTCGAAGAATGTCGAAGACGCGTCGCAGGTGTTGAATGTGTTGCTGCATGTCGCGCGAGTAAATGAGGATGTCGTCCAAGTACACCACCATGCATTCGTCCAAGAGTGGTCGTAGTATGTGGTTCATTTCGGCTTGGAATGTTGCCGGTTCGTTGGTGAGTCCGAACGACATTACCAAATACTCGTACGACCCGTACCGAGTTTGGAAGGTAGTTTTGTGGATGGAAAAGATATTTATAAGGACTCTGCCGAGACGGGGAAACCCCGAGAAGACCCAAGAAATTATAAGGATTAATTAAAGTTATCTTATAAAGATGCTTTAATGAAAACTTATGATTCTCGAGGGTCTAGAGCCTTGGAGAAATTTCGGGAGGGACTCCAGAAGAAGCAGAAAATTGTGGAGATCGTACTAGTACCGGAGAACTTGGGGACAAAATTAAGGAGTGTGGAAAGAAGCCGACCTTTCCACGAAGTCAACGTCCTCTCCCGACACCAGCCCACAACGACTACCCGTTCCCCAGGGAAGACGTCGGTGGAGCTGAAGCAGCTCAAGAGGAAGCTGGGGGTCTACAAGAAGCTGTTCAAACACCTCCTTCGGATGCATCCAGCTCAGCAAATTCAGCATCAACGACACACACAGTCGTCAAGGAAACTACGGGCCCTGGAGAAGAACCTTTCTCCAAGCAGCCTCGGCCAGCTGCTAGCTCAGGAGTAGATAGCAACAAAAATGTGTGCACGGAATATTGGGATGTACCCTATGATCCTATCAATGAGACTATCTCTGGGTACTCTGAGCAACGCTTGCCCCTCATGCTCGAGGTCATCTGCAAAGGACGATGCCTCCAAGTACTCGTGGACAGCGGAGCATCGCACACCGTATGCGACAAGGCAACAATCGATCGACTTTGAGAAGAGACTTTGAAGCCTTCAGCATTCCCTGGAACGATAGTGGACGGCAGCAAGTAATTAGTGTACGGCGAAGCAGTGTTACACTAACAAATCGGACCACTGCGCTGGAGACCTGCACTCCCCATCACCAACATAAAGGGGCTTGACTTTATCTTCGGGCGAGACTTCCTAAACACATTCAGCCCCGAGATCAACTGGGAAAACTGCACCGTAAGCATCTACAACAACGGAAGGAGAGTCCAGCTACCCAACTGGGATGATACAGGAGATATCCCAGTGGAGACACTCGCAAGATTCGAGAAGTACGTCAAGCGAACCGACACCGGATTTCTGGCGATAGCAACAGAGGTGGAGAATGACGGAGAGAAAGCCTCGGAACCTCCAGAAAAAATCAAAGAATTACTGAAGGCTTATCCGACCATCCACTTCGCCATACGGTGCCCCAGTACTCTTCACACCGAAACCGGACGGAAGCCTGCGCATGTGCATCGATTACTGAGCTCTCAACAAGCAGACCATAATAAACAAATACCCAATTCCACGAATCGATAACGTGCTTGACCAGCTTCGGGGAGCTACGGTATTTTCCAAATTGGATCTGCGGTCTGGATACTGGCAGATACGAATGTGTCAAGGAAAAGTTGCACTATCAATTGATACAAGGCGCATTTATACTTCCAGAGTACATCACGTAACCAGGTTTATCCTATCCAAAGGGAATAGACCCTTCTAGAAATATAATCACCCTGCGTATAGCCCCGAGAGGCTATTGGCTTTAAGGGATTACGGTAGGATTACGCTAGATATAGCGCACCGGTACATCCCGAGCCTGGTCGGTGATATAATTATAATAACAGGATAAGCCAAAGGATTATGGAAAATGAGGAATAGGAAACCAAATGAGATAAAGACCAAATGAATCAGGATAAAAGGACGAATGAAATCGATAAGAAATATGGAAAGTGTAACAGGGTCGTACTCTCACAAGCATGGATCATGGAGGTACGAGCCACCTCCATGACCAAACCGATGCGTCACTCACCGACCCCGTACTGCTGTGGGGAGTCTGGCAGGGTGTACGTCTGGGTGATGCCCTCTGCACGATAGAAGCGACCAAGGCAGCCAGAGGCGAACTCGCCTCCACGGTCGGAGTGCAGACACAACACAGGGAGACCTCGGTGAACACGTGCAAAGACAAGCAACGGGATGAGAACGTCAGGCACATCGGCCTTCCGCTCCAAGGGAAACACGGTGGTGTAGGGCATATAGTCGTCGACAAGCACTAGAAAGTAGCGCTCACGACGCGGCCCATGGAAGGGGGCGGGGCCCCAGACGTCCATGTGCAGGGTCTGCAGTGGTGCGGCGGTGGGGGGAACGAGGAGGAGTGAGGGGCATGGCGGAGCTGGCCCTCAATGCAGGGCGTGCACGATGGCACTTGGGAGGGGGGTAGCGCAGGGAATGACTCAGGTAGACCTAAGACAAGACCGTGCTCAGACATGTGACGAAGACGTATGAGGGCAGGGTGACATAGAAGGTGGTGCAATAGAAGCGTCAGGTGACTAAGCGACCGACACGAGCAAGCCGCAGCAACCTGGGTAGACGCAGACACCTGGGGAGACATCCCAACCAAGGGGGACGCGGTGTCCAGCATGAACAGGCCAGGCACCGGGTCCCAGGGGAACGTGGTAAGGGGAACACCAGTGGCGGCCTCAGTACAGACATCGTACCGCTCGTGACCAGGGAACGTAGTGGTGATGCCAAGGCCCTGAAGGCAACCCACACCAACTAGGTTCCGTCAAGGGGATGTGCAGGCCTGTAAGAGAGCCTGAAGGAACCGCCAGACAGGGGAGAGTGGTGGAACTACGGGCGACTACCAAACCTGAGGAAGGGTCTGCAAAGGTAATTGCGGCGGGAGCAGCAAGCGGCGTAAGCATAGTGGAGTCCCGAAAGAAACACCGGGAAGCGCCGGAGTCCAGGGTGAAGGAGAGCGCGGCAGTGGCGGCAGGGGTCAGAGGAGCGAGGGTGGAGCCAAGGCTAAACAAAGCAGGGGATCCTATGTCTGATGCAGCAAGGGAGTCTGAACTAGGCACACCTACACTAGGCAATACGGGGTAATAAGAACCGGTCACACTAGATTCATCGACATACAGCACATACAAAGCAGAGCTAATCTCATCCATGTCCATATTAAAGTTCCTAACACCACGGCGGAGCAGACTGTGCCAGTCGTGGAGGTCTGGCGCCGAGCCGAAGCGGAGACAAAATAGGTCATCTAGGCGACTAAAACAATGAGTGGGGGTATGGCCGATCTTACCGCACACGAGGCTGTGGTGAGGACCGGTGTGGAGCTAGTACTGGCAACGCCCGTCACTCGGACCACCACCCGACGTCAAACTGCACGCACGACCACTGCGACCACCTCCACCACCAGTGCCAGACCACCCAGGCGTGAGACAACCGACCCGCCGCTGCTGCTGCTGCTGGTGCGGCTGCTACTGCTGGTGCGGCTGCTACTGCTGCTGCGGCTGCTGTTGCTGCTGCTCCAGCTGCGGCGCCTAATGCTGCTGCTACTTGGGCTGCTGCTCCAAGGCACCAGCCCCAGCCCCCGCGTCAGTACTACCAGCGGGCGAACCACCTCCACCACCGCCTCCATCCCTACCTCCGCTACCTCCGCCGCGCCCAGCCTTGGGGCGGCGAACCTTACCCAGACAAAACTGCGTTGCGGTAGCCACGGCGTCCGTCTCAGCAGCAGGGGCTGTCTCAGCGATAGCAGCAGAACCATCAGAGTAAGCGCACTGAGCAGGGGCACAGCCCTGAAAGATAGTGACCGGCACAGTACCGCTAGACTAGGCGATAGAGCGCTGACGAGTCTCTATGGCATACAGGGTGTCGACAAAGTCAGTGAGGGTGAGGTCAGCGGGGTGGAGACTAAGAAAGTAATCGCGGGCGGTAGCAAGGCAGTCAGGGAGGCGGGTGGCAAGCAAGTAGAGGGTGGAGCAGATGGGGGGCTGAAACACACGAAGCTAGGCCTCAATGCAGGCAATGCGCCAGGTCGCGTCTAGCGTGCGCAAGTAGCCGGCCAGGTCAGCGACAGTGGAGAAAGACGCGAGATCAGGAAAGAGCACGGTCAGCAGACGTGGTGTCAGCGGGTAGAGCAGCCGGGGGGTCAGGGCAGGGGAGCGTACCGTCGATGTGGACAGCCAGGGAGTGGCCGTCTTGCCGCTGACCAGTGAGGTGACGGCGGAGGTCGACGAGCCACGTGTTGAACTCAACCGGCTGACCCTCCACGTCAAAGCGCAGCACCGAGTCTGCCATCATGGTCGCTGTGGCAGTAGAAAGGCGGTAGTGGGCTGCACTGAGCGATTGAGCGCGGCGGGAAGCAATGGTGTGCGGTGCGGTGCGGTGCAGTGCGGTAGAATGCGGTAGAGTGAGGTGCAATGCGGTAGGGTGCGGTGCAGGGCAGTGGAGTGCGGTGCAGGGCAGTGTGGCAGCTGGAAGACGGGGCCGTGTGGCGGCTAGGAGATGGTGCAGCGGGCGGCGAGGCGACGGGGCCGGCTAGGCGGCTAGGTGACGGGGCCCGCTAGGCGACAGGGCCGGCTAGGCTACGGGGCCGGCGGAGTGACGGGGCCAGCTAGGCGACGGGGATGGCTAGGCAACATGGCCGGCTGGGCGACGGAACCGGCTAGACGACGGGGCCGGCTAGGCGACAGGGCCGGCTGGGCGATGGGGCTGGCCGGGCGACGGGGCCGGCTAGGCGACGGGACCGGCGAGGCAACAGGGCCGGTTGGGCGACGGGGTCGACTAGAGGACGGGGCCAGCTGGGCGATGGGGCCGGCTAGACGACGGGACCGGCTAGGCGATGAGGCTGCCTAGGAGACGGGGCCGGCTGGGCGACGGGGCCGACTGGGCGACGGGGCTGACTGGGCGACTGGGCCAACTAGGTGACGGGGCCGGCTAGGCTACGGGGCCAGCTGGGCGACAGGGTCGACTAGGCGGGGGGGCCGGTTGGGCGACGGGGCCGGCTGGGCGACAGGGCGGGCTAGGTGACGGGGCCGGCTAGGCGATGGGGCCGGCTGGGCGACAGGGCCGGCTAGGCGACGGGGCTGACTAGGCGCTAGGGAACGGGGGCCATTAGGGGATGGGCTAGCATGGGCGGGAGGGTGACGGGTCGGCTAGAACCTATGGCGGAAGCGCCGATGGGTGGGGGGGACCAAACCTACTCATGACTAGAACCATGGCATACAAGGGAATATAACCTAGTGGGTTGTGCTCTCTAAGGCACAAGCTGTGTAGTCTATAATAACATAGAAGGATATGTTTGACAGAGGTGTAGGCTGTGCGGAGGAGAACTGAAGACCGAACCTCTGAAGGACCTGGCGCACCAAGTGTGACTGTGTGAGAGTGATGGCGAGCGCTGCTTTGTCCAAGGTAGCGGCGCAGCTCTCCTAGGTCAGTGCACGTGTGTCTCCTCAGCAGCTCGGCCTTCACGGAGGCCAGTGCGTCTCTGTCTGCAGTAGCGAAGACTAGGTCGTCCACATAGACAAGGATGTAGAACAAAGTCTTGCCAGCACGAACGAAGATTGAGGGGTCTGCAGAGGAGAGAAAGTACTGCAGGTCAGCTAGCGTAGCACTCAGCATGTCATGCCACTTACAGGGCGCCTGTCATAGGCCGTAGACTGGGCGCCAAGGAGCCACTGGGTCCCAGGAGGGAAGGTACCGGTGAAGCCCTGTGGACAACGCAGGTAGACCTTCTCGTGTAGGCTGCCCTGAAGAAAGGCAGTGGAGAAGTCGAGGGAGTGTAACTCGTAGTCACGCTGTGCTGCTACGTGTAGTCTGAAATAATTCCACCCCCTCTCGCTGACTGAAACCTCTAGCCACGTAGGGCGCCTTGAATACAGGCGGCTCTCAAGGGGGGCACTTCACCTTGAAGATCCACCGGCCATCAACTACGTCCACCCCAGGTGGGGGAACTGCGTCAACGTAGGTGCCGGTGGATCTCCAAGATGCCATCTCCTGCTCCATGGCAGCTATCCACTAAGAGGCCCAAGGTCCCAAGGTCGTCGCCTCAGCGTAAGTGCGAGGCGTAGGGATGTCAAACGCGTCTGGGTCACCCTCAGGGACTAGCAGCATGGAACAGAGGTGGGGAGCAGCCTCGGACAAGAAAGCAAGCTCGTATTGCCTGTCCTCTAGGATGTCACTGCCAAGGGCAGAAGCACCCCCGACGGACGGAGGACAAACAGGGTTAGAGACTAAAGCGGTGGCGTAGTCAAGGCGGCGGGTAGAGGCGAAGTCAGCAACATCAGCGACAAGAGCATCAAGACTGGAGACAGGAACAGACGGGTCGGTAAAGAGGGAGGCAAGAACCAGAGGAACAAGAGGATGAGCGGCACGAAGGTAGTCAGAGAGAGGGGGAGGCGCGACAACGAGCGACGACGAAGTAGGCGAAGGCAGGAGGGGAGGACGAGATGCGTGGGAACGAAGCAACATAGGGTGAGAACGCTCAACAGAAGAGACTGGACGAGCGCGAGAGGGACGGCGAGACCAGACGTGAGACGGAGGCGTCTGGTCAGGTTACAGAAGAGGAGAGACAAGAGGGGAATGAGGGGGGAGACGAGCCGGAGACGAGTCGGAGACGAGTCCGGCGGACGGAACACAGGGCCGTAGACAGGAAGGGGAGGAAGCGGCGGGGAAGGCGCAGGCGAGCGGTCAGGGGAGGGAAGGCCAAGCAGGCAAAGGGTGGACACCGGCGATAACTGCTGCTACTGTTTCTCGACGCCGACACATGGACCGCCAGCGACACCACTGTTACCTCCAGAACACTCCACTCCCG